ACCAATTAAGTTCGTAAACCGAGGTTCCACTGTATACAGAAAGACACACATATATGCACACTCATATTTTTGGAAGGGTAGTGTGGCATGGCACGGTGAAGAGGTATTTCTGATCTGAATGATTCCCCTGCATCATCTATTTGTTATGGAAATATCAATAAGAGTTTCATTCATTCATTCATTCCTATTTATTCATTCAATTAATATACCTGTCCACTTGGCATGTGATTCAGGGTAGTGTACATAATTAAAAACAAGTAGCAACCACAAAAGAATAGAATAGAACATAGAACATAGAATAGAATTGTGCCAGAAGCAGTTGAAACAACCAGAAACAATCAGTGAAGATAGACTCACAAAACTTTCTCATCCAATGCCTGGGAGAAAAGCCAGGTCTTCAAAACCTTTCAGAAGGTACCACAATATCCATATCTCAGGCAAAATGCTATTCCATCAAGCAAGTGTAGCAGCAGAAAAAGGCACATCTCGTGGATCCTACCAGGTGGCACTGCTTAAGCGATAGGACCTGGACCATGACAACCCTGTCAGATCTTATCAGTTGTGCAAAGTAAGCAGAGATGAATAATAACCAAGGCCTATGCCATGGGGGATTTTAAAGGTGATAAGCAGCTCCTTGACTTACAGCAAAAAGCCTGCTGTCACCAAACCAGCTGGATGGGAAGGAGGAGGCTTAGACTCAACCCTAGCAAAACTGAATAGCTGTGTATTTAAAGCCACCTGAGTTTGGAAATTTTCCATCCTTGGTTTTGGAGGAGGTTACACTACCGCAGACAGAGTTAGTGTGCAATCTTCCTAGACTTAGGGCTCCTGCTTGAAGAGCAGGTGGCACCCTCAAAGGCCCTTTATATAAGTCCATCATATTTGCCAACCATGGCCATTTCTGGATCGGGAGGCCTTACAGTTACTTCATGCCTTGTACACCTCTCATCTGGATTACTGCAGGGTGCTCTACATTGGGGTTATGGTTTATATGTAAGATCACTGAATATAAGTAATAGCAGCCACATTTTAACTCTCTCTGTGCTTCAAGGAATTTTTATTGTCCATTTTACGCTCTAGCATCATTGTATATATTACCTGCAAATGTTCACATAAGAGTTGGAGTCACTGCTCTGAGTTTGCCACAATCAAAATTATTCTGAAATAATGCTTACAATTATTCTTAAAAAAATAAATGCCTGGAAAGACAGACGACTGCATACCTGTTCATTTCCAACAGCAACTGCTAATGAAAGAGGGGAATGGCCACTCCATAGGACATTTGGATTTGCGTTGTGATCTAAAAGATGATAAATAACTCTGGCAGCATTCTGATGGGGAGAAAAAATAAAAACAGATCAATAAAGATACTGTTTTTATAATTAAAATAAAGAATAAGAACACGTTTAAATAATATTTTTAATTTAAACCACATTTTTAAATTAAAAACAAAGATACTATACCTACCTTCCCCTAAATAAAAAAACTGAAACTGATTCTGAATTGGACATTTACTTATGCCCATGCCTATAAACATATTCAGATCAGAACAGCATATCACATGTTAAGGATTTGACGTAATGAACACAGTCACAATAATAAATAATATATTCTTAGACTGATTGGCAGATACGGGGATTTATAAATGCTGTCATCATTTGGTCATCCAGGCACCTCCAGTTCTTTGTGCCCTAAGGGGCCTCATTCTGTCACTATTTTCTGCTTCTCTGAGTTCTTGTAAGCTCATGCTTGTGTCATCAGCAGTAGTTTCAAGCCACCTTGTCTTCTGTTGGCCTTCCAATGTAGAACTTATCCTGCTATGTCTCATGTGCTTCAGTAGAAGAGGCACACCTGTTCCCTTTGCATGCACAAATTTTCTCTATTATAATTAGTAGGTCAGTCCATAGCAGGAGTCTTTCTTTTTTACTTAAATAATTCAATAAATGTTGTGCAAATTAATTGCAACACCTGCACCTAATGCACAAAGAAGGGACATTTTTAGAAGAGAATATGTGTCACTCAAGGGTGAACTGTGGAGTCCTTGGGGTTCTGTGAGCTTGGTTGTTTTCTTGCAAACTTTTCATTACCCGTCTAGGTAACATCAGTGTAGCACTGAAGATGTTACCTAGCCAGGTAATGAAACGTTTGCAAGAAAACAGCCAAGCTCAGAGAACCCCAAGGACTCCACAGGGACATTCTTGTTATCTTTTAAAGTCAATATTGTCGTCTGAAAAGGCTAGGCTCACAAACTGGAGGGCCCAGCCCCTGGAGAAAGAAGTCCCATCTTCAGGAATGAAAAGAGCTGCCCCTGCTTAGCTCAACAAAACCTGTGTGGGATGGAGAATTTTCATCAAGGTAATTGCTACGACAGCAACAGGATATAAGCAGAGGCAAGAGAACATTTCACATCATTATCTCCCCAATATCTTTAGCAGTCCCCATCTTTATTATGTCTTAACTTTCACTTATTGTTCAATATATATTTATTATGTCTTAATCTTCATTTATTGTCATCTTGGGATGCCTGTGGTCAAGAAAAAGGGCAAAATGTAAAAAAGAATAATAACAACTACTAGAGAGGCTTGAATAGATGAATAATTTATTACAGACAAAACCAGAAAATCTCACTAAGAAAGATAATGAAACAAACAAAAAAACAGTAATGGCCAACAGTAAAACAGGCAAACAGTGAAAACAATAGAACCAAGACACACAAGTCAGCTCTTGCTGACTTCCACACGCAATAAAATAAAATTATGCAATATTTAAGGATATTAAATCATTTTGCTTAGAAATAGGAAAGTGCGTGTTCTGTTTCCTGAAGAGTTCATTTCAATCTGTATACTACTAAAACTCTCATGTCTGTAACCTTCAACTGGGCAAAACAGTGCATCATAGGGCAACAATTTTTGAACCAAGGTACCTCAAATGGGCTAATTTACAGAATACATCCAAAATCCAGGACCCATTACTCCTGTGGGATTGAAATTTGGGAAGTTTGTGGCTACTTCAGCACTGCACTGCAGTAGTCAGCCCAGGTCACATGATTGTCATGGGCATATTCCTGACCTCTTTCCCACCTTCCTCTGTCCCCTGCACCCAGTCAGCTGGCGGCAAGGCCCAACAGGCGAGTGGCTGCTTTGGAAAAGAAG